TTCCTTAATATTACAAATTCGTAACCGCATAATAAAGATTCGTTAACAGTGAATATATAAATAAAAACAAAATATTACTAAAGTGGTTTTACAAAAATAATAAGTTCACTCTAACACTGTTAAAAGAACGCGGAAAACTTGCAGAAGACTTATCATCAAGAACCGCTTTACATTGCCGTAAATATTAAAACATATTCATAAAATTTTTACATAAAATCATTAAATTATAATGGTATTAAAATGTCAGATAACAAGTATACAAATATATTTTTACAAAAATCGTTTTTTTTTTTTTTTTTTTTGAAATAATATTTATACATTTATTACTAATGCAATGTTGAAAATATATTTATATTAAATAAAAAAGAAAATATTTATAAATAAATTTAAAAAAAATGACTAACTAAATTTTTATACTTTAAAATACTCTTTTTAATAGTTTATTCCAGATATGAGGTGCACGACAAGTCATTTTGAATTGTTCAAGCTTATTTTTGCATGGAGGCTCTAACAGGGTACTATTTGTACGCAATAAATATTTGTACTCTGGTTTTTGTTTATAAAGACTATAGAAAATTGAAGGACATTTTTGCATTTTGCTATTATACATAAGACTTAGAACATTATATACATTTAGTTCAAACAATGTTAATAAAGACATTTGTTCAAAAAGAGGTTTTGAGTGTTCTGTTTTATTTTTAAAATTAATCACACGTTTAGCATGCTTCTGTTTACGATAAAGTGGTTCTAGTTTCGTTTTATAGGTACTACCCCAAGCTATATTTCCGTAGTTTAGGTTACTGTGAACAAAACTATAGTAGATTTGTTTGAGTAGTGGTTTTTTTAATAAATAACGTGACTGGTATATTATTCCTGTGCTTTTGGATATTTTACTACTTATATAAGCGATATGTTTATTCCAATTTAGATTTTCGTCAATAAAAACACCCAAAAATTTCGTAACAGTATCCCTACCTATTTCTCTATTTTCAAAAGACAATTTCGGAAAAAAAGATTGAACTTCTTTTTTTTAAAAAGAAGGATGAAATAAAGAAAACTTTGTTTTACTTGAGTTAATAGAGAGTTTGTTTGCCCTAAACCACTCTGAAATCTTTTCTAATTCATTGTTCATTTCTACGCACAGCTCGCTATTATATTTTCCAGAGATAAAAAAGTTGCTATCGTCAGCAAACATTATAGTTGAAATTCTTTTTGAAGCCATACAGAGATCGTTTACATAGATTAAGAAAAGCAAGGGCCCAAGTATTGAACCTTGAGGTACACCACATTCTATTATAGACGGATTAGACTCTATTATAGACGGATTACTTTGTTAACTATATTATTTTAAGTAACTATAGATAAATTGACTGAGGGTTTAATAGCACAGGCTGTTTTTAATGACAAGAAAAAGTTTAGAGCAAATTAATTTCTTTTTTTAATTTTGTTTGGTCATATCAATTTTTAGCATGGGTGAAATTTTACCGATTGTAAATGGTGAAAAACGTCTAACCTTTGATGAAATTTTTTATATGAAAAATTCACACCGTAAATTATTTTTTCACACCCAAAAAACTTTCTAGGCGGAAATTTTTTTAAAAGAAGCTTACGGAGGGGAAACTTTTCAGGTAGCAGCCCGGGTACCAAACAAAACCTAAAAATAAACTCAGTAAGTTCAGTATACTATTATTCAAGTGACGGATCCATGACTTTTTGGGGATTGTATTTTCTATCACATTAGCGTCTCTTCTAAAAAAATAAGGTCCTTCAATTCTAAGATATTTTAGGCTTTTAGGTTCTGGTGAGAGGGGATGCACACACTCCATCTTTCCCCTCCCTGTATACGTCACTGTATTGTTCTCAGTACTAGTTCTAACCTTAGTAAGCTCAGTAGGTTATTGTTGAATATTGTACAAAAATTTAAATCGAAACTGTTTATTATTATTTTTTTTATTGCTACTAGTGTTATTGTTATTACAGTCCTTATTATGATTGTTATTGTTATTATTTTCATTTACGAAATTACGTAAAAGATTTTATTTCTTAAACTATAAAGTTTGGTGTTTTCTTTAAACAAAATTTTTTTTTTTGAAAAATATAGTGTTTTATTGCTTAAACTGTAATACAATTTAATTTTTAAAAAAACCTAGTTAAAGTTAAATATTAAGTTTGTTGCTTTACTTTTTAAAATGCCAAATCAACAAGCCCTAAAATGTCGTGTGTATAATTTTTATTAAAAAAAAAAAAAAAAGATGGAAAGCACGTTGTTTGGAACCATTTCAAGATGGAGGGCTACTCAAAAGCTACAATTCATAGATGTATGAGCATTTACAATCAAATTAAACCATTGGGTCGCAATACATAAAATAACCGCATCAAATTAAGGAAAATGTTTAACAATCGAAGAGGTGTGTCACATGTAACCAAGTCTTCTAGAAGTCACTGTCAAAAGCTTCTAGAAGACTTGGTTGTAGCAAAAACACCATCGGACGAACCTTAAAACGCTTTAAAAAACCTATTCTTTGTTATAAAAGGAAAGAAAGACCAAGCAGAATTCCTGAACAGAGGCTTTGGGGTCGCCGAAAATGTGGTCAACTTAATATCGCAACCATGAATTTATTATTGACGATGAGTCATACTTTACTTTGTCGAATAGCACACTGGCTGGTAATATTACATACTATTCAAATGATCAAAAATTGACACCAGACATTGAAAAAAATTACTTTTATGGATGGCAATCTCCTCTCGAGGGTTCACATCTATTTACATTGTTCCTTCGAGCCAAGCGGTAAACCAAGAGATCTATTTAAAAGATTATTTACAAAAGTGCTTCCAACCTTTTATTAATAAATATTATTGAGACACCAAGTATATCTTTTGGCCCGATTTAGCAACATCTCACTATGCTAATTTGGTAACAAAATTGTTAAAAACCCAGAAGATACCATTTGTTCAAAAAATAGACAATCCAGCAAACTTACCAGAAGCTCGTGCTATAGAGGATTTTTGGGCAATTTTTAAGCGGGATGTGTACAAGAATGGATAGTCTACAAATAATATATCAAACTTTGAGTGTCGGATTCGTTACTGTGCCAGTAGACTTTACCTAATAGCTGTACAAAAGCTGGTACAAGGTACCAATACCAGACTTGATCAAATTCGAAGATATGGAGTCTTGTGATAAATTTATTTTTATTTTCCTATTCTGCTTTTTAATTCTAAGAACATACCAAAAAAAAATTTTATCGTGTTTATTTAAGTTTTTATTCAAGCCAGTCTCAAATTTTATGGCACACGTGTTACGTGCTCATATTTTTTATAATAACTGGCGACATTTATCTTTTTCCAATATTTTTATTTTTGTATTTGTAAAGACAACGATAACACAATAATAACAAAACTATTATAGGGCAATAAGAGAGCGACTACATGACGAGAACGGAACGAGAACAGGCCGACAATAACTAACGAGTAATCAACAAGATAACGTTGCATTGTCTTTACTCCGATCATTTTTTAGTAAATAAACAAACAAAATATTTTCGGAAATTAAAAAAATAATAATAAAAAGATATTATTTCATTATCACAAAATTAAGATTTCTTTTTTTTTTTTGCTGTAAGCGTTTTATTTAATAGAACAAAACATCTATTTCTCATTGCATAAATTTTAACAATAATTAGTGTTAATTATAACAAATTAGACATATTTTTTAATAATAAATATTTGAAATTCATTAATTTGACCTTTTTATATAGTTATATATTTATATGCTCTTCTATCTTAAATACTCTTTAAAAGCTTTTTTACTCCACGTGCTAATTCGTTTCAAGTATTATTTTCCATAAACGGTAAAGTTCTAAAACACAAACATATAAACATGAAAAATTTTAGACTTAGAATAGTTGAAATAAACTTATATAAATCTAAATAATTATCTTTATTATAAACAAAGAAAATAATATTCACATAAACAACTGTTTCTGTCAACTTTCTTGTATTTACTTTATTTCATGCGACTCTGCGGATTAGGAGCAATGACCTACTATCAAGTTTGGCACGCGTACGAAATTATCAGAACTTTGAAGACGTTTATTGCAAATTGTATGTGACCCATTTGTATGTGACCCAATAGTCTGAGCCCATTTTTACCTATATTTATAGTGTATTTCACAGTAAGTATGGGTAAAAATGAATTTTTTAATTTTTATTAAAAAAAAAATGAAAATTTCATTTAATTATTGTTTGCCGTTAAATGAGTTACACTCATTTGAATTAACGTTTTCTATTTTGAAAAATTAAGCAAACATTAATATATAAAACATTCAAACATTGTTTAATAAATTGTTTTCACTTATATTAAACATTTTCCATTATATTTAGCAGTATTATGGGTAAATTATTTTCAAAACCTATTGATTTAACGGTTAAATGGACTTGAAGTTTTTTGTAAAACAATTAACTTATTTTTGCGTGATCTTTTTGTTTAAACTTCAGAAAAGGAAATGCTATTTTAATTATTATATATAGACACTTTATTTTTTTTACAAATAATTTTTTACAAAACCTTTTGTCGTGGGGAATGGTGGGCTTAAGATTTCTGTCTTTATCAAAGATTATAAATATAAACTAAAATGGTGTTTATCTTTGACGGACATAATGACATTGTTTATTTTGACGGACGTAGTTTTTTATAAAGAAATAGTATTTGTATTATACTTTCACCTTGATTTAATTATGTTATACTTTTAAACCCGCAAAATTTGCAAAATTAATTTGTAGAGAGTTGTTAAAAACTAACTTTGAGTACTTAAAACGAAATCAGAACATAAATTTGATTATAAAGAATGATTGTTTTTCAATGACGTAAAATAAGCTCTTCATAGTAAATAAATCAATCTTACTAAGTCCCTTTTTTAATGTTTGCATTAATTGATTTTTCTATGTTATTTACTATTTTTAATAAATGTGCCGTTACGCTGTAATACTAAAAAAAATAGGGAACATCTAATATATATTTACATAGGCATTTTTATTCATATATACAAATATAGGATTTAGGAAACGTATGATTTTAGTTATATGTGGGTACAATAATTCTGAAAGTATTTATTTACTAACAATAAGAAATTGCAACAAATTCTGCTTCGTTCAGTGTGTTCTTTTTGTTCGATTCCTTGTTTTCAAAATATTTGTAGGTTTGATCGGGCTGATTAAAAAAATAAGTTATTCACCAATATCTCCAATAACTTCTTTTTCCATTAAATATTAGGTTTACGACTGTTTTAACGATTGTTAACCAGTTTAAAGCGTATTAAAGAATAATACGTTTTATCATAGTTATCTTTTCTTTTTGTCGCAGTGAACCTCTTGGCACTCACAACTTCCTATTAGTAACACTTTTTTTATAACAACTTTCCATTCGCCATCTGTTTTACAGTTTAATTGAACTTTCGTTTCGTTCCATTTTTTTGGCATGCAAGTATTGCAACTATTAAAGTCCTCTCCATATCGTGGTATAAAAAAGGAATTACATTGCCCATAACAGAACGGCACATCGATCGTTACTGCTTTGCAGTCGCGTTCACTAATAACTTGTTGGTACTTTGTACCATGGACCATGCAGTTTTTGCTATTTTTATCTGTAAGCCATTCGTTTTTTCCCAATATACCCGTATTTGGTTCTTCTGTTTTTAGCATGCTTAAACTTTCTGGTGTTGGGAGAGAAAATAATAACATGTAATGCAATGTTACAATAGCCACCTTAAACAATCTAATGACAAATCAAGAACGTAATAAATAAGTATATATATATATATATATATATATATATATATATATATATATATATATATATATATATATATATATATATTTTAATTTAAAAATGAAAAAGTTCACATGTTTATAATAGTTTGAAAATATAATATACTTTACATATGTAGTAATTCTTACCTTTTACAATGCGTCATCTTATCTTAGAAACTATGCGTGCTGTTCTGGTGCTAACATCCAAATGTCGCATGAAATATAATAAAAATGCTAATGTTTAATCTGCAACAATGGCGGAGCTTTAGAAGAAAAGACCGATGGATAACTTTAAAAAGAATTAGACGTATGAGGCTCAAACAAGAGAATTACGTTTCAGCTAATCTGGCGCACTCGTAAAAATTTATGGCATATTAAATTTGTTAATTAAATTTTTTTTGGTAAAAAAAAAAAAAAGATTACTACGCCTTCATTTTATCTCTCTATTTTAGAGAGAAAGAGAAAAAATTCTCTTATTACCATTTGTTTTTAAACCTTCGGCTTTATAATATAAACCATATTTATTTTCTAAACAAAATTGTCAAAACTGTTAGTTAAAACTAAATCACAAAATATTTTAAGTATTTACTCGACTTAAAAACGTATGATTGACTACAAGATGATATATAACAAAGATGGTTAAGATAAAGATGGTACTGTCCTAACAAACAAACTAAATAAGCATACCTTTTATTTATAAAGATATTTACAGTTTTTTAGTAATCCATTAAGTCGCCGTAAACATTTATTTAAGTTTATAATTACCCAGTAACTTCAGCCGTCTAGTAATACGTCTACACGGATTGCGGTAAACTTTCTTAAAATGGAAAGTTTTGCATATGTAACCATACATAAACTTAACTAACTTATTAACACCTCTGGTCTTTATAAGATATATAAAAAATGCTCTTGCTAAAGTGTTTCAAATTAAAATACGCCTAAAGAAGGATCTTCTAGGACCGCATTCTCATTTCTTTGTTTAACTTAACAGCGGGTTAGTTAAAATTTATTAATAAAAAAAGTTTTTAATATAAATTTAAAAAAGTAAAATCTATGTTTGGTTTTTATTTTATACTGCTAGTTTCTATCATTTTACTTTTTCTTTTCTTTTTTTTTTTTAATTACTTAAAAAAAGTCAAAATAAAAATTCTGGTCAAATGATCCGCTAATCTTATCTGATTGGGAATGAGTATGCGGCACCAGCTTCATATTTTGTAAGAAAAATTTAGTTTTTAATTTTTTTATACCAGAATACGGCTTGATAAGCTATAAATACAGCCACATTATGTAATTTTATTTTAATTCATTTTATTTGTAACTATTGCATCTTTCCATTTATGTTTTCTATTTTACTTTTTATATGTAAACATGATAGAAATTAAATCACGTTTATTTAATTTGTTGTTAAGAAAAAAAAAAAAAAAATTGAGATTTTTTTAATATTTAAATTAAATTAATGCAATGCAATTATTTATTTGGAAAAATTTTCTATGTAATTTTTTACATTATATCAAAAATTGTGTTTCATGCTTTACCAATCATAAGTTTACCTACCAATCATAAGTTAAACCGGCATTGGTTTACCGCTAAAGAAAAAAGTTAAGTATTATTATTTTTTATTTCAGAATGTTAATATTGACCTTCTCAGTGATGGAAAAATTGGCAAATCTCACAATTACTTTTATTTATTTTCAATAGTATTTTCAATAAGCTAGAAAAAAACAAAAGTTTTGGTTACTAATACTAATATATATATATATATATATATATATATATATATATATATATATATATATATATATATATATATATATATATATATATATATATATATATATATATATATATATATATATATATATATATATATATATATATATATATATATATATATATATATATATATATATATATATATATATTATTAAGTATTAGTAACGAGAACTTCTGTTTTTTTCTAGCTCATTGAAAATAAATAAAAGTAAATGTGAGATATACGCATTTAATCGTTTAAGGATATTAACATCAGTTTGCAAATAAAAATGCCAATAATGTAAATAAGTTGAAGACGTAGCTAAAAACCAGCAGGCACACAACGTTGTATTGACATTGTATTAATGTTAGAACGCTAATACAACGTTAATACTACGTTTTGTGCTTGCTGGCAAGCAATATTTTTAATGGTAAAAATAGGTAAGCTCTGCGCATGCCCATACACTTATGCTCATGAGAAAAGAGAAAGCTTCAAATGTGCAAATAATGCTGTTAAGTAAAAATTCATCAAAAAAGTTGAAACTTATTTCAAAAATTAATAAACATGTTATAATTTTAAAACATCATTATTACCTGATATATTTTGATATTGTTAAGGATAACAAAATTTATCAACAAATTTTTAATTCAAAAGTTACTACGTGGAACTTACTTTTAAGTTTCATTTAAGTATAATTTTCTACTTTTAACATAGTAAGTAATAAAAGTAAGTTCTGGTTACTTTTGGCATGAATCTAAATTTTAATGATATGTGCTTGTAATTGGTAATATAGGTAAGTGGTACTTAAGATGTGACAAATTTTAAAAATAAAAAAAAGTTTGTAAATATCAAATTTGATAAAGTAATAAATAAATGAATTAGAACTTTTCTTAAAGAATAAATTAGAATAAATTAGAAACAGGTAAAAAAACAAATGCACAAATACACACGCCAGTTTTTACAGTTTGCATTTAAAACCAAATCAATATTCTTATGTATTTAAAAAATAAACTATAATAGTATATTTTATTATTTTTAAAATGATTATATTTTCATTTATAAAAATGTTTTTTTTGACATCTCGAAAATACAAAGAAAAAATCAGATATAAAATGTTGAGACAAACTTACACTCAACCTTTCAAAAAACCTTTTCAAAATTTCAATTTTTTTTAATTACCTTGTATAATAGATTTATTTAACAATATTTTATATAAAGAAAAATAATTCAGGATCAATTTGCTTAGGTTCTTCGTCGTTTTACCCTACATGAGTCATAAGTCGATATTACAAATCAAGATTACTCAAATAGTTTAATACCCGGAATTTTTAATGGACAGATTTTCAATGATGACATAAAACAGACGATAAAAAATTGCCGTATAAATTCCGAGCTATTTTATTTCATTAGGAACATATGTAAAGAAAGATAATATTTTGTTTATATGGTTGTACATTGATGTGTTAATAAGGATAATCTAAGTGTTTTTTTTAATTAAGGTTCTGTTATTTCTCGCGTACTAACCAAATTTACAAGACAATGAAAATAATAATAATAATAATAATAAGGAAAATATTTTTAGTTTTGTATTTTTAAACTTTTAAATCTAACAGCAAATAAAATTATCTTTTAACAAAACAAAAAAGAAAAGTTTATTCAAAAATGCAAATCTAAAATCTATTTAATTAAATTTAAAAGTTAAAATGATTTAAACATGATTTTTTTTTTTTTTTTTAATTTTACTTCACCTCCTCAAGGCCGAGAAGGCCACTACAGACAAGGAGGCTACTTATTTTGTGGCTATAACCCTCTCTCAACTCTATAACTCCGAAACACGAACCTTGACGAACAAGGCCGCTGCGCGGAGAAACGAGTTGAGCGCGGTACTACCAGGGACGTGGTGGGGATCGAACTCGGAACCACTCGTTTATGAAGCGAGCGCTCTACCACTACACCACTACCGCTAAGAAAACTAATTTAAACATGATTGCCCACATTATTTACACTTGCACCACATTATTTACACTTGCACCACAATATTTTGGGTTTTTTTCTCCAAGATTTGAATCAAGTAACTTACTGTGATACACGATTATTTAGCCCCTTCTTAACAAATAAATGTTGTTGAAGAAAACTTCAAAAAATATTTATTTACCAGCATAAATCTAAAAAAAAATTGTGCAAGTGAAATGATTATTATTAATAACACTCTTAGTAACAATTGAAGTTAGTAAAATTTAAATGGATGGCATAAAACTAATTAAATAATCACTGCATTAAAGAATGCCCCTCATTACGCAGTGAATATTTATTTAGTTTCATGTTATGTTAGCTCCCTAAGAGTAAAATTTTTTTATAATTATTTAAAGTTGTCTAATTAAATTTGAAAACATAAAAAAAAGTATAAATGAGAACTTTACACTATTTTTATCTAATTGCATGTGCTAGTATCAGACAAGTTGTTTGTTTATCAATTGTATCCAATGGATTCGACGTTTAAAGATGTATAAACCAATTAATAAAAATCAAATTAAGGAGTTTATAATGTTATAAAAATTTTAATAATGTTATGAAAATGAGCCGTGTAATTTATCATGTATTGTAATACATTTTTTTATTAGGAATTTACATTTACCTTGCTTAAAAAAAGTACGTTAAATCTTTTTCTAAAGATCTTGTAAGGAAAAGTATACTCCGGACTTTCCTTTAATTAATTTGTAATTTATTTTTTTTTAAATATAGTTTTTAGCACCAAACCCCCTCCCCACCCACTCCTAACCCCACTCTTCTATTTTCCCTAGAAAAGTTTTTTGTTATTGGATTTTTTTGGGTTCTAATCAGCAACCGGTTACCGTTTTGCTAAAGAAGCATCACTTCTGCAAATCAGTCATTATGTGGAGAGTTTAAATATTGAGGAAATGTAGAGGTACGGAATAGGTTGCCCAGCACTGTAGTGATACAGTTCAGCTCTGTATTTAGGTCCTACTCCATTATTTGCATAAATAAAAAGCTGAAAGAAAAAACACGTTTTTTTTCAGTTTTTATAATTAAGCTGCACGTTCATCCTAACAATTAGGTAACTAAGTTACGCAAATAGATTAACAACCAACAATAAAAATTGTGTGGTACTGCAATAAAAATATTTTTTGTGTAGTCATTTAAGTTTGAATAATCAATAAATAAAAAAATTTTAAATTTTGTGTGACCAAAACACAATGTTTCAAAACATGGGCTAAAACGTAAAGCTAAAAAGGTGTGGACTAGGTTATGCTAAAGCTCATCATTTTAGCTCTGTACTTAAAGATTTTACTCCATTATTGAGTTCACCTAGGCCTTACTTCAACTTATAAATTTACTTAATAAAGCTAGAATAAGATATTTTTTTTCACATCAAATTGTTGAAATATGTAATATCATGGCTTTTTTAAAACCTTTATTTTTGTTGTTGTTGATTTTTTTCCAAACTTTTAGTGACAACAAAATGGCTGTCAACGAAAGATATAAATCTTTGTGCACTTTTTTACAGCTAAATTTTATTTAAAAAAATTTTAAATCT